CTTCTCTATTATTCCGCGCTATGATTTTTCCCCTTCTGTCAATTCGACAAAGACATTCTTTTTAAAAAAAATTGTTACAGTTACAGATTTTGTGGGATATGGAGAATCGTAAGTTGAAGTAAAACCGGATAGAACTATGTATTAAAACTCCTCATAAATCTATCACTACATCCAGGATCGGTATTCAACTGAATTGAACATGTAATATAAACCAGATATACAGTTTTACTCAGAGACTGTATACATCATTTCCAAAAAATTTAAAGGGTTGGCCAAAAAGAATTTTTTATAAAAAACTTTTTTTAAAAAATTTTTTAAAACAAAATTTTAAAACAAAATTTTTTTAATTTTTTTTTTCAAAAAAAAATTCTTTTTTTGATTTTTAAAAGGGAAAAAAATTTAAAATTCGGTTTTATTAAATTTTAAAAAATTTTAAATAATATAAATATTTTATTTAAAGTATATAATTTTAAGGAAAACAAATTTTAAAAGGGGGGCCAAAGGGGCCAAACCACCTTTTTATATTTTTTGGAAAGAATTTTTTAAAAAATAAGGGGAAAAATAAAATTTTGAATGTTTTTGGTTTTTAAATTTTAAAAAATATTTAAAAATAAATTTTTTTAATTAAAATTTTAAATTTTGTTTAAAAAATTTAATCAAAAAAAAAATATTTTAACCCCAAATTTTCGATTATAATTTAAAATTTTAAAATGAAAAAACAAAGGGGTTTGGGAGCCCCCCGGAAACCCCTTTGGCGAAATTTTAAAAAAATAATATTTTTTTAATTTTGAAAATTAAAAAAAACAAGAGGTTTTTTTTAAAAAGATAGAAAGCTTTAATTTCAAAATAAATTGAATCTTTTTTTTAATTTTTTAAATTTTTTAAAGAAAACGGTTAAAAATTTTTTAAGAAAAAAATTTTTAAAAAAATTTTTTTTAGAAAAAAAAACCTTTTGGGCATTTTTTAAATTTTAATTTTATTTCAAATTAAAAAAATGAAGTTTTTTGTTAAAATTTTTTTTAAAAAGGAAAATTTTAAAAAATTTTGAAAAAAAATTTTTTTTTTTAAGGAAAAGTTTTTTTCGAACGATTTTTTAAAAATTTTTGGGGATTTTAATTTATTTTTTAAAAAAATTTTTTAAAAATTTTTTGTTTTAAGAAATTTTAAAATCAATTTTAAAAGATTTTATTAAATGGGAGGAAAATGGTTCACATACATTGGTTGAGTGCGCAGAGTGCAGAAAATTCTCTTCAATTTTAAGTGTATACTCTATTTTTCGTTTTAATTTCGACACGATTTTTCACGTTTGTGTCGATAACCTGGCGTCTCATTTCCTTTCTAAAAGAATTTCTGTTGGAAATCAATTGTTTTGTTTGAATGAAGACTTGAAGATCTCAACAACCTCTAGAGTGTGCCTAATGGTTATGGTCACGAACTAGTGGTCAGAATGTCTCGGGTTCAAGCCCCAGGGTCACTGAAGATCCACCGTGTGGAGGGGGTCGATGCACGTAAAATCTGTCAAGGCTCAATGTCCACTCATTGGTGTGGTGTGGAAGGTAGGAGAGGGAGTGCCGGCTCAGATGTCGTCCTCATCACTTGACCATGGCTCAAAATTACGAGATCCATCGCCTGATAGCCCTCGAGTAGCTGAATAGTGGGACGTTAATATTAACTCACCACTCACTATTCTCTACAAAGACGTACAAATCAGTAGTTCTAACGAGTCTACTTTGTATAAACATAAGTTTTGATAGTTTTAGAAATTCTGATACTTGTTCTCATTTTGAATTTTTTGGAACCAATTGCAAATACCTGAAAAGTAGTAAGTGTTCTTTTGATATTGTAGTTGTTTTGTTTCACTTACAATCACTCTTATTCTTGAAAGTCTGCCGATCTCTAATTTAGGAGGACATTCATTCCATACTTACAAGTAAATTAATGCCAATATTCAAATGTGTTGCCTTTCAATTGCAAAATTTCGAAATTAATGAAGAAAAATTCCAACGGAGAGCAATTAAAACATTTTTTTTTTAAGAATTGCTACAGGGCAAAAACACAAGTGAAACATGAAGCAGCCCTGATTCTTACCTTTCCTGCACGAAATCCAAACATTCGATTCCGTGAAACAATAAGCAGAGGAAATGAATGATGTTCTCAAATCCAGATTCATTGACCGACATTGACTTCCATTCGGAACTTGTCAATGAGTAATTAGAAACATTCTTCATTCATCACCTGATGAAATCGAAAACACTTTGACCCTTGAAGTTTTTCCGCCCTCTGACCTCGGAACAAAATAGCCACAAAGTGACCCCTTCATTGCTTCGTCAAGGATTCGACCGTTTCCTTATTAGTTATTGTGTTTCCATTGACAGCTCGTATCTGCATTTCACACGTTAATATACGGTTGTTAACCGCGCAAGTAGAAATTATCCCGAAATATATGTGTTTTCGAAGATAAATTCACTGTGCTTAATTACAAATTTTAGAGAAAAAAGACAAGAAAAATCTATGTGAATTGAGAAATACATTATTTGATCGAGGAAAGGACACATAATGAAGATTTAGTTACAAATTGTAGGTTAGAAATGACAAAAAAATTATCTTATATCGCTGGTTAATCGTGTTCTCTGAGTCGAACATTAAATGAAACGAGTCATTATCCTTGAGATAATGTTTCCAATGTGCATTGAGATAAACTCGTTTACGGGATCTATTTCCATATAAATCCATTCAAATTTATCAAAGGAGGCTTAGAAGTAAGAGTTTTGATTGAAAATAATAATTTTTATCATTAATGTTGTTAGCCAGTGATTACAAAAATAATTTCAGCCTCGTAACGCTTTGGAATGAAATAACTATGCTGTGCTTGATTGCTCTTTAAAATAAACAAAAGAATCAAGGAAATGATTGGAAATGAAAACAAATATGCGATTATCATTGCTAGAATAATGAATTGAAATGCATTTCATCGATCATTTGCTTCTTTTTCATTTTTTCTTCTTTAAAAAATATTTATAAATATATTATTTATTTAAAAAGGTATTCCATCTAACTTAAAATCGATTTTTCGAGCAGATTTTGCGAACTGAGGCCGAATTGGATTGCCAAATTCTTGAACTTCGAAAACTTAAATTGAAAAAAATATCAAATAATTTTCATTCACATTTGCTTATTTATTTCTGATACATAAAAAGTAAAATTATCTGAACGTTAATTACAGTCAGAAGATTTAATTCTAGATTTTTTTAAAAAAATGGTTGTAAATTAAAATTTTTTTTCTTTAAAAGAATACAATTTTATTGAAAAAAATGAACGAAACTGGAAGAAGCAAGTTTTAACTACGTGGCATTAATATTTTTGCTTAAGAACTATTAAAAAATGCTCATATTTTTGATTTCAAATATAAATAAAGAAAAAAGAAAGTTTTTTTTTTCACATAATTTTACCAGATTGAGTTCAGCAAAGAATCATAAGAATACGTAAAAGCGAATATTTTTTGATATATCCTGAAGAACAATAGAATTTTAAAATTTATAAATATAATTGTAAGAATTTTTTTAAAAAAAATGTATTATTGTAGGTACCAGAATGTACTATTGTTGTAGAATACCTTTTTAAACTAAATTTTTATTTAATATTAAATAAGTTAGTAGAGCTTCATTCAGATGAAACCGAAATACACAGAAGTACCATTACCAATGTACTTAACTTACATTAAATATATAAAGGATAGTTTAGTTACCAAGAGAAATTTAGAAAAAGAGAAACAAACCTAGAGAACGTATTACATAAATGTGAAAAAAGCTGCGCATGTGAAAAACTTGTCCATGTTTAGAACTAAATGGCAAAGCTAAAAATGCTTTACGGTGCCAGTCTTTCTCTTTTTCAAAGAGAAACTACAGATAGAGTAAATATTTAAATTCGAATGAGAAACATATTAGTCCCAAATGTGAGATTTATACTTTTGAAAGTAACGACCACAGACAAATAGCTAATATAAATATTACTTGAAAGTTGATTTAAAGCTTCTAACTAGCTTTTATTCCAGATTAAATTATTAAGCATAAGAGAAAAGCATTTTTTAATAATTTTAAATATTGTTAGTTTTTAAATCTTAGAATTTGAGAAAGCGTAATTTATATATATATAATAAGGAATTTCTTAAAATATATATATGTATATATTTTAAGAAGTACATACATATATATACGATTACTACCTTGTTTCAGGAGCTTGTCAAGTAATACAAATAATACTTGGTTTTTTAATAATTTTTAGAATTTATTCTGCTAAGAATGTAAAATATTTTTTTTCCTTAAAAAAAAACTTGAGAATGTAAAAGAAGGATATGGTTACCAATCTTGAGGATCAATTTAACCTTAACCAATTTAATATTTTTTAAAGGAAACTTGAAGTGTCACATAATGGACGATTCCTCATGACATTTTTTTTTTCAAGGATCATTCATCATTATTCAATGCTAAACCGAGGTTAAAGTGTGTCGAAATTGAGCTAATTTATGACCTGTTGAATCAAGTATATAATATAACATGTTGCTCCGAAAATTAAACCAATTTATTCACTTCAGAATTGTTTATTTTTGTTTTGTTTTTTTTGTTGTCATTCAAAACCTCTATCAAGAGCGTGTTTCTTTTTTACATTTGCACGTGACAGCATTGTTTATTTGAAATTAACAAGTAATATAAAAAAAATTAAGTCAAATCCTACTTAGGTCAACAAAGAAAAATTTTATATTTCAGTTACTTTTTATTAAATATAGAGAGAGTTACAATTAATATAAATTTTTCTACATATGACAGAATCACAATATTAAGTGGCAAAATAGAAAGCGATTTTCCTCGCAATTTTCCTTTCTGTATATGGTGTTGGACTATTATATATATTATATTATATTATTATTTTCGTTTATTACTATTTATTCATTCATTAAATTTAATTATTCCAACAAAAAGAAAGGACATTCTCAGAAATTAGGCCATCCCAGGTGGGATTCGAACCACGACTGTTGGATTAGAAGTCCAACTCGCTATCAATTACGTTACAGGACACAACGAACGATTTTCCTTTTTATATATAGTGTTGGACTATTATTTTTTATTTGTGTTACTACTTATTCATTAGTTAAATTTAACTGATGAATTAATATTTGAAAAAAATGTTTTAACATCAAGTGTCATCTACTACAAGTACAAAATGTATTTGAACGTGAGAGAGTAAATAAAAAGTATTTTATTAACGATTGAAAATTGAACAAGATATATATATATATATGTATCAGAGGCGCACACAAGGGGGTGTCCTGGGGGTCTGGAACCCCTCCCAAAGCCCTTGATATTTTTTCCGATTGATTATAATTCTTATATAGTGCGTAAAATTTAATTAAGTATTTGTTATTAATGATTAATTTTATTAATTAATGCTAATTATTTATTCAATAATTAGTTTTTTAATGTGTTTTGTTCCCGAAAATCGACAAAATCAAAAGGAGCATGATACAAGAATGGTGAACTTTCATCCCCGGACCCCCCCTTGAAAAATTCCTGTGTGCGCTAATGATATATATGTATATATAGGGAGAGTGTGAACTAATAGTAGGAATTGAAAAATATTGGGGGAATAATGTGGGATGTAGATACAGTAAATAAATAAATAATAACAAAAGAAAACGTTTGTTAAACTTTGTGGAAGTTTATATTTCAACTTTTGATGTTAGATGTTTAGATACAAGCATTATTTCTTTAGTGGCAAATTGAAGAAAAAATATTATAGTAATAGAGTCCAGATAACTCGGGTACTCGATAGCAGAACAGTTAATGAAAGAATGCCAGAAAATGTGATGAAGACCTTAACGTTGAGGACACCATATAAACTCCTAAAATATCACATAGTGAGGCTATATTTTGAACAATAAGTGGTTTCGGTAATGGATTTACTGTTCCTTCATTCTCTTCGTGATGAAGCAACAAAGCACAGAGTGCAGTACGAAAGACAACAGGACATTATCCATATCTTTAAAAAGAAAGCAGTGAGTTTTTGCAAAATCGGCTACTTAATTTTCATTAAAGGCAGCTTTATGCCTTCATAAAATATTTTTCTGAGGTGTGTTTGATCAGGTAATGTACTGTAATTCGTTTATTTTCCTTTTTCCTGTAGTAAATGCTCTATGCCATAAAGTACGCACTTTCCTTTTTTATAGGATTCGATAAGTTTGGGAACCCTATTTTAAAAAGGGATAAATGAAATTTTCATGATATTTAGTGTCACTTAGATTAGAATACATGTATAAAACAGTTTTAAGGACATTTTGAAATTTTTTTTATTTAAATACAATATTTCGGCAAAAAATTAACTTAGAACAATCTTTTTTCAAAATATTCTTCTGTGAAAAATGCTTCTATTATAATAATATCTTGCCTGTATTATAGCTCAGACCTCTGTTCAGAGGCTCATCTAGAATTTTTGAAATATGTAACTTAGAAGTGGATTTATCCATGTTTTACGATAACAGAGGGGAGAAATTTTAAGAAAAAAACGCCTATAATTATATATCAAATGGCTGTAACTCTAAAAATAACGGGAATTTTTCAAAAATCATAGTTGAGCCTCTGTACAGAGGTCTGAGCTATATACAAGCAAAATATTATTATAATAGAAGCATGAAAAAAGGTTATTCTAAGTTAATTTTTTGCCGAAATATTGTATTTAAATAATTTTTTTTTTGCCAAAATGTGTGTCCTTAAAACAATTTTATACATGTATTTTAATCTAAGTGACACCTAAATATCATGCAAATTATCCATTTATGCGCCTTTTTAAAATCACAGTTCCGAACGTAGTCTGATACCTTAAAGGGTATTTGGGGCAGTTTTTTTTCATTTGTATTCTCAAGCAAACAATACATACAAGTGCAGTACAGTATTTTCTGAGAAGAAACTCGTACTTATTTTTTTTTAGTCTCAGTCGTATTCGTCATTTGAGACCATAGTTCAAAATGACGAGGTCCTTCGCCAATAGCCCATCCCCGTTGGTGTGGTAGTTAGGAGAGGGGTGTCAGCTCAGGTGTCGTCCACGTCACTTGACCATGGTTCAAAATTACGTGGTCCGTCGCCAAAAGTCCTCGGTGCGACGTTAATATTCGATCAATTGCCAATAGCCCTCGTGCAGTTTTAGAATCAAATTTTATTTTTCTAGCTAGGATGTGTGATGGGAATAAAGCGTGAGATCTGATTTTTAAATAGTAAAACTATGTAATGATAAAATTTATTGTCATTAATAAGTCCTCTTTTTAAAGACATATATATATATATATATATATAAAACTTTATCTCATTCATATACACATCTGTAACTAAGCGCAAAATTTATATTGTCTCATTAATATTCCTAAATCATTTTACAAGAAGATTATGAAAGAAAGAATGGAGTGAAGTCTTGGAACCAAGAATATCTGATTTCAAATAAAGGGAGTTTAACAAAGAAATTTTTTCCAACGATTAATAAGGTACTGTCTTGCCATCATTTTTATACTAATTACAAAATAACCCAATTTCTAGTCAGGGCAACTTTTAAAGCTACTTGAACAAATTTAGTTTAGTTTCGTCATCTTTCTGTGATTGTGATTTTGGCGGCGAGGAAAATGTAGAACATGTGCTCCTTCTGTGTTCCACGTATGAAAGAGAGCAAAATATCCTAAGATTGGCTTTCAAGGGACTTAATATAAATTGGCCTCCGCGAATCTTCAGCAATTTCTTTCCACCAGAAGTGCTTTTAAAAAGTTCCCTGAATTTGTTGTAAATATTTGTAATCCTTCATAACCACAAAGGATTTTTTTCCTTCATTCCTTTGTAATGTGTGATTAATACTTCTGTGAGCCCTGTGTGATACTTTGGGGTGCACGGAGATTTTATAATAGTTTAAAAAAAATCATATACACATTGCCCCATACAGTTTACTGAATTATTTATGATCTTATCTGTTTTTATTGTTTAAAATATCATAAAATGCACTTATCATAAATCGTTTTTAAATTTTTAGGAAATTTTTTTTTAAAACAATAGGTTGTTAAAATTTTTAGGAATGTTACTTTAACGTTTCCATTTGTTTTAGTATTTGGAATACTTTGAGCAGATTTAATGGCAACTGTGGGACGCCTTTTAGTTCCTATCCTCTTTATCTGTTTAAAGATGTCTTATATATTACATTTTTTTTCTGCTCAGTTTCCAAAAGAAATTCTGCTCTTTGAGATTAAAAAGAAATTTTTAAACAATCTAAAACTAACTGCAATATTTTTATTATAAATTTCAGAAAATTAAATGTATTTATTGCCGACAAGTGTTTTATGATAAAAACTATAAACTTACAAAAAAAAAAAAAAAAAATTGACAGAGACAAGTTTTTGAGTTTTACTTATGATATGCTTTTGTTTACCTTCACATCTTAATATTAGTAGAAAATTTACATTATACTTTTTTCCAAAATTAAATTAAAATGAAGAGAGAGAACCGGTATAAGGCTCTTGGCACAGACAATTCAGAATACTTTATGATGAGCGAGTTGCCGGCGGGGTGCCGGGCTTGTTTTGTCGCTGGCCTTCTGTACCAAAGGTTGCAGGTTCGACTCCGGCCCAAGTGGGTGGATTCTCATGGGGCAGAAAATAGACAACGGCCATGTCGTATGATTATACGGCCTGTAAAAGATCCATAGAGTGTCTGTCGGGCTTGGTGTTTCGCAAAATTAAACTTGAAGCAGGTTCGCATCGTCAGAGCTCAGGTGCTTTACTCTAGGGAGGAAACTGGGTGTCAAAATTACCTGCGGCGATTGGTATCCACCCATAGGGTGCCGCACTAAAAAGAGATACTAGTGCCGGGGAATGTACTAGGTCTGCAATGGTAAAACACCAATCCACAGCCCATTAGAAATAAAATAAGTGAACTTTGTGAGAGTCGTTGCCATATTTATATCCGAAACTATTTTGAAGTAGAATTTATGTTTAGAGAGCTGCACTGTTTAGAGAAACACTTTTAGCAAATTTGAAATAAAGGTACATCTCAACAATTTATTATTATTTTTTCACTTAACGGAATCCTAAAGTCACATACCAAAGAACGCTTATTCGATTTTTTTGATTTTTTATCATACATTTTGAGCAAACATCAAAATTTTTTAAATGATTGTCAAAGTTGAACGGTCCCGCATTATTCTTTTCTGTTCCTAGTTCATCTTCTGAGTCATCACTAAAAACTTATCTCCTCTCTGGAATTAAATTTTAATTTTTGAATCGAAATGGCAATCGAGGGAAGTTTTCCTCCACACACGAGAGAACAGGCTTTTTTGACATTTAAGGGAAAACCGGACCACACAGTCACGTGCTTCCGCCGCACGGCCTTGAGTGACTTTCACCTCGCTCTGAGGGGGATTCCGCGTCGCTGCGAGGCTTCTTTCTGCTGATTTATTATTTTTTACGCGTTTCTTTTAGCTCCAGGATATTGAATTCACCTTTCGGAAAATGCCGAGGAATGAAAAAAGTTTTACCTTCAACCTTTAATAAAAACCCGAACCGCCTGTTAATAACCGTCATGACTTGTTTGTTAATAGAACAATTCTCGTATCCTCGGACTGTAACTTGGGTGAATTACATTTAATTACTTTCTAATTATATTTAATTTGTTTGGATTGAAAAATAAAATACGCATCAGATTTTCAATTTCTTGACATATGAATTCGAATTAATTGTTTGTTTACTTAAAACATATTCGTTTCTTTTTTCTGTGTTTGAAAACGCATAGTCGAGAATGTGCGATCAACAACTGTTTACACATTTTCTGAGGCTAGTTTTACAACGTCAAGGTTGCTGGAAATAATATTAGTAAAGATATTCCAAGTATTTGCTTTAGGGAATGAAATGTTTTTCCCCCTCATATTAATTTATCTCAGAATCTGTAAAAATTAAAAACTACAAATTTTTAAAGGAGAAAGAGGAATAAGTTTTACAGAATTTAACTGCTTATTTTTTTTCTCCCTGAAGCCAAGATTGAAATTTGTAAGATG